GAACGCAGCAGCAAAGCAGGCCAAGATTCCTGCAAGGACCTGTGCCTTTCCGGCAGGTTGAAGTCATGTCTGCCACAGTGTGCTGCCCGCTGACAGCCAGAGCATCCTTCAGTGCCCTGAGGGTGTGAGCGCCACACCCAGCCCCTCGGTGGCAATGACAGACCCCTCGTGGGACATGGGGTCTGTTTATTTTTGCAAACCGGGGTTCCTCCTTCGCCTGCACTGGGAGCTGTAGAATTGCTGTGCTACTCCAGCCTCGGGGAGTTTTACGGCTCACCTGCTCTCTAAAAAATAAATAAAGTGGGGGGGGGGGGAAAAATATCAAATGCCAGAAGGTTGTTATAACTGCTTTGCTTTATTGATACTGAACACCTTTTCAGGCCTCCCCACAGCCACGTAAAACATCAGTGGACAATAATACAAGCAAAGGAAATTGGGTATATTTTAAGAAACAACAAACACGGTTCTTCCCTTCACATAGTGCAGCTAGATACATCACTGAAAGACTGAGCTTTTGAGAGCAGGATATCAAATGCCAGAAGGTTGTTATAACTGCTTTGCTTTATTGATACTGCATTACAAATGAGAAGTGCAATAGGTGCAGAAGCTGTCTGAGTCTTGCCTGCCGCTGAGTGCACGCAAGTGAAATAATCCATGATACATCAACACCTTTTCCAGGCCTCCCCACAGCCACGTAAAACATCAGTGGACAATAATACAAGCAACAAGGAAATTGGGTATATTTTAAGAAACAACAAACACGGTTCTTCCCTTCATTTAGTGCAGCTAGATACATCACTGAAAGACTGAGCTTTTGAGAGCAGGTAGAATGAAAGGGATGAAGCTGCTATGAGATACAGAGGTAGAGGAACCAGTTTGGAGGCTCAGTCCATCCCAATGGCACTAGTACGACTCACTGAAAGCTAGGAAAACAGCTCAGCTGCTTTCTGAATAAAAAAAGCTAAGAAATAATGTAGAAGGGGAAAAAAAAGGAAAAAGTATGTGTTGGTTGGTGGGTTTTTTTCCCCCGTATCTCCCCCTTCCCAGACAAAGCCAGAGACACTGATTTACATACCTTGCAAAGACTGTGGCCACTTCTGTACAGCAAGTTGCAGCTTCCCTCTTTCCCAGTACCCCTGTGTGTATCACACTGGGAAAATGCTCTCTGAAGAGATGCTTTATGCAAAAACCATTTGCCCTTTGCTTCCTGCAGAGCTATATGATAATACTGAGACACAGGGGCCAGAGCTGGGGCTGGGCTACGACAAGGGGGTGACTTTCCCAGTCACTGAGGCACTAGACAGCATTTTGGACTTCTCTGCTGAAATTATCCTTTGCCTCCACACCCTCTTGCATGTCAGCAGAGCAGCAGGTGAAGGTCCCTGGACAAGCTGGGCTGGACTTGTGGAGGTGTGTTGGCTGCCCAGACCTGCCAGTTGTCCCTCCCCAGGGATCACTGCCGGCCGCTGCTGCAGCCTCCCATGCTTCTGCAATCCAGCAGCTAAGCACTTGGAGCTGTGTCTGCATGCAGAGGCATCATAACAAAAATTGGAGTCAATTCTGCCCATCCATCTGAGCAAACATAGCATCTTGGGTTTGTTCTTATGCCTGCAGTCTGGGATTTCCAAGCTAAGCCCGTAATTTATCTGCTGGCCTGCAAAGAGACTTTGCAGGCAACAGAAGAAACTTGAGCCGAAGCAAAGGTCCAGTTTCACTCAGTCTCCCACCCACTAGCCAGAACCAGGATCAGAGGTCCCTATGGCTGCTTGGGTGTCTCCTTGCAAGTGAAGGCAGTCCTTGCCAAGCCAAAAGGCAGGATGGCACATTTTGAACAGTCTCCTGGTATCCAAAAAAATGAGCTGCTCTGGTCTGGCCCCATGGTGACCCGTGACAGGATAAGGCAGAAAGGAGGGTTAAAGATGAGCCGTGCTTGGAAATAGCATCATCACCCTTACGGTGCGTCCAGCATGACTGCTTTGCTCCCTGGGAGACGCAGGCAAGAGATTTAGCTGAAGTTTTGCTTGGTTTTTAATCATCTCTAAATATCCCCCATGATAGCGGTTTACACAGCAAAGAGCAGAAAGGGACCAAAGCTCCCAAAGGCAAAATTTCCAGCAGTGGCCACCAGAAGCCGCGACGAAGTCAGTCCTCACCCTTCTTAGGGACACCTTTTAGCGCAAAGAAAACCAGAGGTCTGCGGTGGGTGGCGGGACAGAGACAGGAAGGCAGTCATATCCTTTCTCCACCTGCAATAAAGTACATGTCCAAAGGAAGCAGCCAGCCCTGCATCTGTACAAAAACTCTCCTGACCAACCACAAAAATCCCAAGAGGAAAACCTGAGAAAAAATTAAATTTTTTTTGCTTACTGCAAAATTTAAAAAGAAACTGGTTTAAAACATGTATTTTTAAGTGCCTAAATCAGCAACTCCACTTTTGAGGTGGAAAATCTTTTCCAGACCAAGTTGTCTTGGGCAGGAGGTTGGGCTCGGCAAGGTTCTTACTCAAGTCCCTTACCCCACAGCTACTGAGGTCTTGGCCTTGCCAGTGGGACTACGCAGGCAATGCAGTGTCTGGCTGATTTGGGGGATTAGGGATGCTTGGGCACTGTTTTGCCCAGCAGTTGCTCTACTACCAAACTGGACCCACAGTATTTTACCTCCCATTTGTACTGGTGCACAACAGTTATATGTGATGAAAAGCAGCTCATCAGGATCCCTAAAAACTTAAGAGAGGCTATATCTACCCTGAGAAACCAGAGAAGCACCATCTACCAGGAAACCTAACCTAGATACAACATTTTTTTTCTCCTTTTTGCCTTTGGCACATCTTCAGCTCCTGTCTGCCTTTCAGGTCTATGGGAACAGCTCAAACCAGTAAAAGCTAAGCAAATCCCAACGGCCGCTGGGAAACACCCCCAAGCCTCACCAAGACTCACTGGGCACATATTTATCTCGGTGGGTCTGGGGGGCATCCACTGCGGGATTGAGGTTTCAGGGTTGCGTTTAAGGGCACCTCACCCTCTCTCACAGGTTTGAGCCCCGAAAAGAGGCGCTGCAACGCACTCTGTTCCTCCATGAAGAGTGACGCTTGGTGTGGCCTTCTTCCCAACCAACTCTCACCCCAGGAGCAAAAACAAATGCAAAGTAAAAGAAAAAGTCAGGCTTCATATTCTGGATGGATATTTATTTGCTTAACAGATTTTCTTTTTTTTTTTTTTCATTTTTTTCTTTTTTAAAATTTTTCCCCCTGCCAATAGTCTATAATTGGTGGTCCATGAAGATGATGCTTTATTTACATGATTCTAACGTCTTTTAAAAAGTCAATAAAGAAAATTATTTAAATCAACAAACACAAATACCTGCTAATACAGAATGTCATACACATATGGCTGTGTTAAAGGTTACAACAGGTAAAACTGGAGTGTGATACCTTTCTCGTAGTCTCAGCTGCAGGCCAATATACCTTAATTTTTAAAATTAGTCCTGCAAAATTCACTGAAGTAGCAACCGAGTTTTGTTCCAGTGTTTTGTTCTGTTGCTGACATTGCTTGCTTTTCATGTTGCTTTGTCCTCATTTCATCTTTGTGTTGCTTTTCATTGTGTTCACCCTTTATGTTTTGGCAGCCAGGATCACACAATGTATCCTCTATTTTGTGAAGATGCAATCAGATTACTTCGCTCCCGTAAGATGTGCCGTACCTATTCTGAGGGTGCTTACTATGATCTTGAGAGGTATAATTGATGTGGAGCATATTGTTAGCTCTGCCACTTATACTTTGGCAGTACTGTGTTTGGTTTCCAAACTGAGAATGTGATCTATGTTTTAAGTGATAAACACGTACAATGAAGATGTTTTATAATACTCTGTGAGTATGTATGCGCCTAAAACTGACTACTCAAGACTATGGGTAAATCCCAAGAGAAGCTGAATAGCTGTATAGAAGTCAGTTTCATAAATTATGTGGGTAAGGAAAAGGAGATGGTGGGGCACGGAGCTGGCGCTTCTGCAGGGGCTCGGCGGCGAGGGCCGGCCGCCCGCCCGCCCGCTCGCCGGAGCATTGGCATGCGAGCAAGCTGTCAGGGTGGGGAGGAAGCGGTCGGTCCCCTGTGGCTCAGGAAGCCAAGCTCCGCCAGGGATCCGTGCAGAAGCAGGGCCTCGAGTTGTAACTGGCAACACCTTCACCATTCAAAATAGTTTGTCTCTAGAACAGTTCCCTTTTAGTCTAAATTGTGGTGGTTTTGTTGTTTGGTTTTTTTTTTTAAAAAAAGGATGCGTGTCGATGTATTTCTGTGTGTGCGTGCATCTGTGTACATGAGTAACAGCCAACTAGCTCATATGGTCATGACCAAGCTATATTTCAGAAGAGAAAAGAAACACATTTATCACACTTTTCCTAAAACGAAAAGCTAAAATTTCAAGTTCAGTATTCACTATCTTGTCCTTCCCTCCCCACCCTCCCTTGCTATTTCTGGGTTTTTTCCCTTCCAACTTACTTTAGCACCATAACACATTTTAAACATTACAATCCCTCTTCAGATACTACACAAAATGTCCCATAAAAATAGTGCTTTTTTTGCCAAAAAAGTTATATAATATATTATATATATAAATCAACTAAATCCGTGGCAAATGTGCAATGCAGACGCCTCCTCCATTTAAAGTGAGCATCAGCTCACTTTTTTCTTTTTTTTTCTTCTTTCCCCTTTCCTTTTTCTTCTCTCTTTCTCGCTTTCTCTCTCCTCTTCCTCTCTTTCTCACTTCATAGATGATTTCAAAAAGGTGCAAGTCGATTTGGAATCTTGTAATGAAGCACACACACAAAAATGCAGATGGGGGCTCCTCAGAACTTCTTCTCAGGTACGTTTTTCTTTTAAAGGTGCAAAAGAAACTTATAAAAATAAGAAAACCAAAAGAAAAAAAAAAAGAAGAAAAAAGTGGGGTGGGAATGAGGTGAAAAAATTATATCCCTCAATATTTCTCCCCATTTTATTTTTTTTTCCACTTTATTGTCAAGAAAGACATGGAATGGACTCTCTTCTCGAGAAAAAAAAGATTAAAAAAAAATTTTAGCTTCATATCCTTTTTCCCTCTTGCTCTTTCTTTTGTCTTCTGGCGTTGGCACCAGGGATGTCACACAGTGCCCGGCAGCAAAAAGTTCAAGTGCCAAACTGTCCCTTTGCAAGTACAGGCTTGGAAATACTGGGGGTGCGGGGGAACGAAACAGGCCTGGGAAACAAAACAACCCTCCCCCCCACCCCAAAAGGACGATGCCGCGGGAGCGGCGCTGCTCGCTGCCACCACCGCCGCCGCTGCCATCCCCTCCTTGCTGTGTCAGTTGTTTGGTTGGGGCCGGAGCAGCGTGAGAGTGCCCTGCCACCCCGCTCCTCGGCTCGGCGGCCCCGGGGACGGAGGGGCTCGGGGGCCGGGTCTCGCCACCCTCCCCCCGGGGAGAAAAAATCAAGATGGCTAGTCAGGGTTCATTTCTGGGGGCCAGCCGTTTCAGGGGAGGCTCGCACTGCCGGGGGCCTCTGGCTGGGCAGGGAGATGAGGGGACGGTGCAGCGCCTTGGCTTCCTCGGCCGCTTGCAGCCCCTCCGCCTGCCACCGGTACTGGCGAGCCCGCAGGATGCTGGGCACCTCCCGCTGCAGCCGCTGGGAGCTCTTCTTCTGCCACACGTCGTATTTGGAGTACTTGGCGTGTGAGGGCTTCTGGAAGCTCTCCTGCAAAGGGACAGGATAGCAACGTCAGCCTTGCCGCAAGCCTGCCCACCCTCCGGGTAGGGGTCCCCCCCTCTGAGCTCCATCCATCCCATGGAAACATTGCCCCATCCCTGGAAAGATTCAAGGTCAGGTTGGATGGGGCTTTGAGCAACTCGATCTAGTTGAAGATGTCCCTGCTCATTGCAGGGGGGTTGGACTAGATGACCTTTAGTGGTCCTTTCCAACCCAGACTATTCTATGATTCTGTGATCCAGCCCACCTCTGGTCCTCCAATTTATTAAAAGCTGACTTTCTGCAGGGTATTTGGCATGAATTGCCAATGGTTGCCAGCTCTTAAAGGCTCTGCAGAAGCAGCAGACCTTGCAGCTAGGATTTGTCCTCTCCCACCCACGGCCTTCTCATCTTTTCTCTTGCTATTTATTTCAGAGAAGGGCTGCCATCCTGGCACAGCCCCCCTACCTTGTTGAGTGCCGGCAGGCCCACCAGGGAGGTGGCGGAGAGGTCACGCTCGGACTTGACGGACTTGGCACAGTAGGTTTCCAGCAGAGCCAGGTCGCAGCTCCGAAAGCAGCACTCCTCCACGATCCCCCGGTTGATCCGCCGGTTATTTCGTCCCACTGGTCTACCTGCAATGGCAGAGACCCCGGCGTTAGCCGCCAACCTGGACTGAACCCTCTTGCCCCCTCCACGGCACCCATCCCCTTGTAGGCATCCCTGCACCAGCCACTGGAGACCGGTGTGTCCCACACACTTCAAAAATAGCAGCGCTTCTCCCAGATCAGCCAACACGCGCCCGCAAACTGGCCAAGTTTCACATTAAGACTTTCCCAGACAAATGCTGTTGATGCCAACAGGGCTCCCTGCATGCGTGCGGTGCTAATTAAAGGCGCTTTATATGGCGGTGATTTATTCCCCTTCTATACCTCTGGCACAGGCGGCCTTTTTGGGCGCAGCTAAAGCGAGGAAGCTCAAGCCCAGCCCAGCCGCCAGCACTGTGCCGATTACTGCGACCGTCTCCGATGTTGATCCTGGCAAGCGAGTTTTATTAGAAAGAAGCAGCACGGCGTTGTGGCTGCCAACCTCCCTCCAACGGGTCGATGCTCAGGCAGGTGAAACGAACCAAGGCGGCTAAATTTTACCAGATGGGACAGCTCTGAGACAGCTGCAGAAAGAATACAGGCTCCCACACCCGCCAAGAATAGCTATTAAACTTAATCTTTTAATAAGGGTTCCTCTCCCGTTTCTGCCTGCAGAAGGATGCGAAAGCCCGTGTCCGGTGCAGCAACAACTGAGTGCATTTCATGTCACCACTTAATGACAGCCAAAACTCTCCAAAGGAAAAGCTTACATCAGTTTTACTGGTTTTCCTCCCCCTCTTGAAATAAGAGATGGGCAAATTTGAATTTCTGATGCAAAACAAATTTGCTTGGGAATTGCAACTTCCAAAATGTAAACTGGCCCAAAATGATAGGATTTTCTTCGGGCCTTCGCACATGGCGTGTTATGCGCTTGTGCTGTTGTGGGGTTTGCAACAGGAGCTCTGCACGCTGCCACAAGCACCTCTTCTCAGCACAAGGTGCTCCAAGGGAGGGGAGCAGAGGCCGGCACCAGCAGGGCTTGCAAACACAATCCGGTACCACATCCTGGATCGGAGAATTTGGGCATGGGCTCAGCCGAGACCCTGCCTCCCAGCAGGCCTGTGGGAACGCACAAAATGGTCCACGTTGGCCCCATGCACAACCCACGATCCCCCCACATGCTCTGGATGAAGCAGGTGCTCAAGTATTTGGCCTTGGTGAAGATTTAAGGGCCCCAGTTTGCAAGGTGCTGACCAATTTCTCCGGGAGGTACCCCATCTGGGTGCCCACCCAAAGTGCCTCAGGACAAAGTGCAAAGCACAGGAGTTTTCTGTGCATGCAGTGCACATGTGAAAAGCAGCCCCATATGTGCAATGCAAACATGCATGTGCAACGCAGCCCTGCAAGTTCAACGCAGCCCTGCATGCACAATACAGCCCTGTGTATGCAATGCTGGCATGCAAAACCCCGCAACCGTATCTCATTGCAGGCTCTGCAATAGCGAAGCCGGGCAGGGCACCCGCTCTCTGTTAGAATCAGCCGTGCCCCCATCGGCGGGGAGCCCGCTGCTCCACGCTGGTGCATTGACGCCGCACTCAAAGGTTGCGAGAGCAAACATGGCATCAGGGCGCAGGGCGGTGGGGCAGCTGACTCATACCATGCAGTCTGCCTTCGGGAGTCATTTCAAATGCTCTATTTTCCACACTCGTCCCCCCTGCGCCACCACCTTCTTTTTCTTTTTCTCTTTTTCTTTTTCTCTTTTTCTTTTTCTTTTTCTTTTTCTTTTTCTTTTTCTTTTTCTTTTTCTTTTTCTCTGGAAAAATTTCAGGCACGACTTTTAGCCAGCCCTGCAGGAAGGTGAGAAGGATGGTTCCCTCTTGTAAAGGCTCAGTGAAGGAAGCATTGTTAGGAGTTTAATTTTCTCTCTGTAAATGCTTGTGGCCAACAAGCAAGCTGGATTGGGCCCTCCCTTTAAAGGCAGGGCAGGTGTGTTGGGTGCCCTCAGCCGTACAAGCGATGTCGGTGCAGGCAATCCAAGTGGCAATGCCCAAGGGAGACAGCGGAGAGGAGCCAGCTTGGGGCCAGGTGCACGTATTCTTCCATATGCACGCGATGCCCAGCGAGGTCCATGGGAGACCTGCGCTGCCATCGACATCCCGCACCGCATATGGCCCCCACTCAGCACCTATTGACCCCAGCGCCCAAACCTGCGTGTGCGGCAGGTTGCTGAAGCATTAGGCTGCTCCAGAAAGGCATCCTGAGCACAGGCAGAAGGAGAGTTTGGAAGGAAAAGAGAAAAAATTAAAGTCACCCCCTCTTGCTAGCACATCCCCAGAGGGCTGCATTCACACTCCTGCTGAACAGAAGGTTGCACAAATGACGACACGCATGGTCCAGGGAGAAGTCGAGGTTTTGAAAGGTTACATGTCTCCTCTCGAAAACAGAAGTTGCCCACTTGCAGCTATGTGTTTGCTGGAAAGAAGAGTGGGGGGAAAAAACAACAAGCAAAGCAGGACCATTTTCACCGCCTTGCCATCAAGGGCACTTTCTGTCATGGGAGCGCACAGGAAGATCATGGCAGCACATGTTTGCAAACACCCAGGTGTGGCACCACCAGAGTGAGCTCCCTGCAGGGATCACCACCGCAGCACGGCCCCTTCCTCCCACTTGCTGCCCCTTCCCAGCCTGCGGGCACATGTGTGGCCCCCGGCTCCGATGCGCTGCCCCTTCTCTCTTGCATAAAGCTGCTGCATGCCGTTCCCCTTGCTGGTGCCACTGCCAGCTCCACTGCGACGGTCCGATAGGGCACATTTCCCATTACATAATTGTCCGTACGGATCTCGCCAAATGCCAATACAATCCTCTGTAGGAGAGTTACTTTGGGAAAAAAAAATAGGCAAAAATAACAAACAGGGATTTAGTCCCAGAAAGTTCCTGGAGACAACAACCCAGGGAAGAGATGCCAGGACATTGCTGGTTAACAGTAATATCACTGCTGACCTGGATTGGAAAAAGTGTTTGTTCCATACCACGATTTACACATGGACTAAAGGTTGAATTTCCTGGCTTTTGCCCATGGATGGCATCTCGCTTTACTGCCACTGCCACACCCAGGGAGGATTTTGCCTCTCCATCCCTTGCCTGCCAGGGGAGAGCTGTGTGGGCAGTGGGCTGTGGCACTGCCAGGGCGCGCGAGCCACTTCCCGTTGCAGCGATGACCGCCTCCTCCTGAGGAAATGCGCTTCCTCTCAGCCTTCAATGAATGGCTATGCTCTCTTTTTCCCCAAATTGTGCTCCACCAAAACCTCCCACAGCTCTGTTGAGGGGCTGAGCCCCATGATGCAAAGCCCAGTGATGCAAAGCCTTCCGGCTGCCCGGGGTTACTCCCATCCAGCAGCGGGCTATCCTGACAGGGAGAGCTGGGCATCCCAGCAGCAGTGCAAAGCCAAACCTGCTTCTGGGAGAACCCGGAGGCCGCATACCTGCAGCTCAGCTATGCCTCCGTGCCGGAGGTGGTGGCACTGCCGTGGCCGCCAAGGGGACAGGAGGGTCCTTTCCTTGGCATCGCCACCCTGCTGCTCTGGGCTCCCCACCCTCACCGGGGCTGGACAGATGCCGCGGGGAGGGGTGTGCGGTGCCGGTGCCACCCTGGCCGGGTCCCCTCTCCTCCAGTCAATCAGGCGGCAAGCCGAGTGGAAGGGGACTTTGGGTGTAAATAGTCCCTGTGCCCCTGTCACAGGAATGTCGGGAGCAACAAGGGGGCCTTTGTGCGGCACCGGGCCCTGTCCCAGTGCCCCCGGCCTGGCCCTCCCCCACCCCGGCACCGCACTTTCCCCCCTGCTTTTTCCTAGTATTATTCGGAGGAGCGGCGGGTGCGCAAGAATGTGCCCCGTCAGCACAAGCGGCTGCAAAGAGCTAAATTCTTATCAGCTGTTGGAAAGGAGGAAACAGGAGCTGTTGTTTACAGAGAAGTCGGACGCCTCTACCCCTGCAGCCCCTTCTCCCCTCCCTGCCAGCATTGCATGACAACAACTTTGCGGCCGAGGCTTCCTCACGACCTGCCCCGCTTTTTTCACTTGGGGCTGCGCTCAGCATCCCTCCGCAGGCTGCACCACTGTCCCCAGGGTGGGTGCCAGGGAGGAGGGAGAGGGGGTCCTGACCCTGCCGCAGTGCCACGGTGGGATGACACCACCTTGCCAGCACCTGCGGGCCAGCCCCAAAAGCCTTAAAGTCACGGAGGGGAGGAGTCACGGCAGAGGCAGAGAGCAAAGCATGCACAGCTCCAGCTGCAGCTTGCCCAGGCACCCCCAGGATGCAGCGCGGGGCTGGTGTGGTGCACATCCATCGTGCCCACCCCGCATACCGTGGCTGGGTAACCCCAGCGCTGCCAGCTCCTGCCCATGTTGGTGCAGCTCTTCTGCAGCCCCAGCTCTCGGAGGCAGCTTCAACATCCTCAGCCCTAAGCACCTGCCAGCCACGATGCCTCCAAGGGCACCTGGGGGCTGGGACTCACTTCCCACGCCAGCAGACAGATGGGCATCCCGGTTATCAGGGGGTGCACCCTGCTCAGTCTAGGTTGCATATTTCCCTGTTGCCAGATGCTGGAGGGGCATGAAACACCGTCGGTATGCTGCATCCCCTTGCATGGATACAAACAGTGCTGTATTTCAGAGCTAGCTTTGCTAGGTAAGTGCTCCCTTGTAAGAATGCAGAGCATCGTTTAAGTACTTAAGTCACCACTGCAGCAGAAAACCAATAACAGATTTTCATACCATTTTTATTTTTTCTGAGATTACCAGTCGAATGCTTGCAACAAGCCCCGTCCAGCAAGCGGGGCCCACCTGTACCTGCAGGACAAGGCTGCCCAAGTTATTTACCTCCCGTATGAATGACTGCATTAGCACAGGCTGCTCATCAGGTCACACATCCCATGCTGAGAAGTGCTCATGACAAACCCAGGCCCAGTTTTAAGACGTAAATGCACAATCGTGCGACATAACCGTGCCCTATCGAGCCTACATGGTGACAATAGTGTAGCCAGGAGGGTTTAGGAGTGAAGATGAATATGGTCAGGAGAATTAATCACTTTATGAGGCCAACTGATGGAGATAAAGGGAAAAAATGAGGTGAGCTCAGGGTGTCCAAACCCTTCATCAAGTAGAGCCATCGCCCAAACGTCTTCAGCCCTGCACGGCACAAGCTGGTCAGATGCTGAAGGAGTTAAAATACAGGACTGGGGGGACTTTGCTTCATCCCCCAGCACCTGGGCTCTCCAGAAATATTCAAAAAGAAGAAGGGGGGATGGGAGAGGACAAAAAAAAAAGCAAGAATCCCCTTGCAAGCACCAGACTGGCCACTTGGCATCAAGCGACTTGTCTGCCTTCAAAAGTGTTTTTATTTTGGCCTGGACAGCTGGGTTATTTGAGGTCAATTTGTCCATAAAACAAAAGCCCCATTCCCTTTCATCCTCAGAGAGGGGGAGGAGGGAAGAGAAACCACAGGAGAGAGACGGATGCTCCTCTATATATAGAGGGAGAGGAAGAGGTGTGAGAGTGGGAGAGGAGTTTGCCTCTTTGCCACGCCGGCAAGGCCAGCCCCGGACCCGCCGCCTTGGCCGAGCTCTAGTGCGGGGCTCATTGGTGGAGGAAAGGTGGAAGGGGGAGATGAGAAGAGGAAGGGCAGCTGATGTGCAAACCCTCGTCGCTCAGCTCGGTGAGAAGAAGGAAGCGCGCCCAGGGTGTCCCCAAAAGCACTGCCTGCCCGCAACACCCAGGGGGTCATGAAAGCATCCCGCTGCTCAGCTGGGATGGGGCAGGGCAACCACCCCCCCGATAGCTGCAAAGCCACCTGCAGCCCAACCGCCTGCCCAAAATTACACAGCCCAAACCCTGACTGCTGCTGGATGCGGGATCCCTGCACCTCTCCCCGCCCAACCTCAGCAGGCAGCGTCAGCCAAGTCTGGCTGAGCACCCAGGATGGGAAGGGATATCCAGGGTCGTCTCCTAACTTTGCAGCGCCCCGTTCCCTGCACAGGCAGACTGGGAGGAGAGGGAGGCTGGCTCTCGACTCCACTACTCCAAACAACACCCTGTTACTTGAAAGCAACTTTTTAATTCCTTTTCCCAAGGCAGAGGCAAGACTGCCAAATGCATGGCACCATGTGCAGCTAGTATCTCCGTCCTCTTCCCCCCTGTTTGGCTTTGCATCTTTCCCGCAGTCAGTCACTCTGTGGTTCAGTCCTCAGTGGGCAGCAAGACACAGGATCTTCCCTCTCCCAGGCAAAGCAGGGAACTGAAACACCAGAACAAGGCATCACACTCAAGGCACCTCCACCCACAGATTGCTGAGCATCCATCACTACTGGTTTACTCCTCCTCCCTGTTTACCAGCTAAGCTGTTGTACTGCTAATGCCAATGGTCCAAACCCCCAAAGCATCCTGGTGGAAAGCCCGCTCCAGCCAACTGTCCTGAAGCCACCTGCACTCTGTGGACAACAACAACGCTGCATTTTTTTGGTACTAGCTGCACGGCAAAAGGGTAAGACATCACTATTCAGTGACAGGTTCACCAGCAGGTAGCCAGGAGGCCACAAAGCGTATTTTGGGAGCAGCCTAGAAGCTGCTGCTACACCCAAGCAAAGCCTGCCCAGAAAGAGGGAGCGTTCAGCTCCCTGCCTGCTCCCAGGATGCAGCGATTAGACAGCAAGGTTTAAAAATAAGCCAGCGCCCCAGCTCAGCAGAGAGCTGGCTGCAGACATCCTCGTTATTTTAATGACTTGCCCGTATCGCCGGTGAGCCAACCACCTATGGCTCCCCAGTGATATTTGACTTTCCCGAGCATCAAATGCAGGACACGGTTTCCCCATGGACAGTCCCCAAAACCGGCGCGAGGTGGGTGCATGTCACCTTGAGCACGTCGCTTTTCTTGCTCCTCTCCTGGCCTACTGCCATGTACAACGCAAACATGAAAAGCACCGGGCTGGGAAACCCCTCCTTTCACTCCCGGCCCAGCTCCACCAAAGCAAGGCACAGGGTGGGGGCAGCATCCTGCCCACTACTGGCAGCTGCCTGGCACTTACTGAAGTAGAAGCCCCTGTCCCCGCAGACGAACTGCAGCGTGTCCACCAGCTCCCCACCACAGAGGGTCTCCGCCGTGCCATACGCCGCAGCCGAATCCAGTGCGTAGGCCAGGAAAGCCAGCAGCAGCAGCAGCATCCGCCTCACCGCACACATCCTCTGCACCTGGGGAAAGAGGCACAGTGTTAACACAGCGTGAGAGACCCCTCTCTGCCACCTCCTCCGGGCAATGCCCCCCTGCCCACAGCACTCCTGGGGTTTGATGCCTGGACATGTCGGGATGCTGCAGGGAAGGACCGACAGTGCTGAGCCGGTCGCTGGTGCGAGGCTGGCTCCCTGTGCTTGCCCGCTGGTCAGCCGCTCCGGCCAGACAAGGTTTGCATTGAAGCAGTTTTTCTATTGGAAAATCCCACTTCAGCCTACCTCTGAAAGGCTTTTATTCCCCCTGCTCTTTCAACAGTGTGATTTTTTATTTTTTCTCCCTTTTACATGGGAAATCATTCAAATTATTATCAGGAGGTATTTTTTTTTCAGTTCTGATGACAGGTTTTCATGTCCTACCTGAACACATTTTCCCCCAAAGCAGAAACAAATGAAGTTTCAACCTGTCCTAGGGTTGCTTTTGAGGAAAGCTGGGTTTTGCCAGGGAGCGGCAGCCTTCGTCCCAGGTGTGCGAGAGACCTGCATGGCTGAGGCTTGGGCAATCAAGGGGCTGATTGCACAAGCCATATTTGCTGACGAAAGCCAGGACCTAGAAGACATCCCTCAGGAGCAGAGCGGTCCCACAAGAAATGCGCCTGAGGCATTACCAAGGAGGGCCAAGGGGGTATGAGCCGGCACAGAGGATTAAAAAAGAAACTCTCTGGATATTTGCTAACTAACCCAAAGATTTCCCCTGACTCAGCTCCAGCAAACAGCTTTACCTTTGTGTCAGCTTCTGCAGGTGTAAAGTGAGGGTGCTATTGCCTCACTGGATGAGGCAAAACCCATGGATGGTTCCAAGCATTATAGTCTCTCACTGATGAGCATCACTGTATATATACAGCTAAATAATGATGGTGGCCAGACAGGTCAGCTCAAAATGAAGAGGGGAAGTATGGCAAAATAGCAGTCGGCGTGGGGCAATGCTAAATCTCAAGCGGAGCGTCCCCTCTCCCCGCTAATGCTCAGCTAAGACGCTGGGTTTCACATCCAGCCTTCGTCACCATAGCATCTGAGCAACTCGAGAATAATATCAGTTAATGAATATTACCTCACCCCCCCGGGATGCTCAGAGATGGAGCCGAAGCCCAGGATAGATTAAATGACTCACCCAAGGTCACGGGGGAAGTCTGCAGCACAGCCAGGAAATTAGCCCAGCTCCCCTGGGGCCCCGCTACAGTCCTGCCAGCAATAAAGCCACCCTTGCTACCAATTATTTACTATCACGTAGCTCAAATCGTTGCTGCTAGAAATGTGCCATGCTTACAAGTCACAAGCTCTTCTGAGCAGCAGGAGGACAGGGATCAGCAGCAAGAAAAGCCAAAACGGAGGCTGCAAGGTCTGGGTGGGCTGAGGTGGGCATCTCCCCCCATATAAGCTTCGATGCCCATTGTATTGCTCAGCCTGTGCTGGCAGAGACCAGCAAGGCTGGCAAAACCCCTCCAGGGCTCTGGAAAAGAGAGGCAGAAGCCCTGGGAACAAACTGGGCTCAAACCAGCAAGTGGTGGGACCGGGACCAGTTTTTCCAGTAGCACCGGTCCCTTTGGCCCACCTGGGGAGCTTTGGTCTATATTACACTAGGAGCAGAGGGATGGCACCGGGCTATGATTGCACCATGCTGCCAAGCTGCAGTGTTTTGCCACCAACATCTTCTCACCTTGATTTCTTTATCAAGTGGCTAACGGGTGTTTACTGGGCCTCCCCAACATGACCGCAGCATCACCTGCACTGCTTGAGTCACGCCCCTGGTATGGCAGCATCGGTAGCTGGATCTCCAACTGACAAGACAGCAATGATCCTGCTCCCTTTCCTTTTTTTTTCCCTTTTTCCTCTTTTTTCACATGCAGCTCCTGATTGCTGGTGTCCCCAGGGCGCAGGTAGCGCCGGCAGCTCATTGTCGGGGCAGCAGAGGTGTGCCAGCCAGTGCCACCGTTGAAGCCACTGACATGGGACTTCAGGACACCCAAATAGTCCCCCGTCCCCAATTAGGCTCATGCTGGCTGCAAGCACTGAGGCTAACGAGCAGGCTGCATGCTGGCCTGCCCCGAGCCAGAGCCAGCCCCCGCAGAAGGGGCTTGCTTGGTGGCACGGGTGACAAGTTTTTCCTCCACAGTCAGTCCAAAGAAAGGGGTGAGATGCTCTGAAGCAAGGGGAGAGCGAGGTTTTGTCAGCAGGGCGATATCTGATGCTGGGGAGACCTGATACCTTCTGTGGAAAAACACTTGTGCTCCTCAGAAAATACCCGCTCCTGTGCAACCCGCACCGCAAGCACAAGGCAGCCCCTGGCAGCCTTCCCTGCCTCCGCTGCGAGCTCTTTTAGGGTGCCCACGCACCCTGTAACTCTGGCCAGGAAGCCGCCCTGAAGCCACGAGGACAGGGACAGCCCCGACGCTGTCATCCAGAGCCGGGCTAACGTGGACGTGCGCAATGCAACGAAGTCCCCCTTTGTCCACGCATCAACCCCAGCCCTTTCCACCGCTGTCACCTTGGCATCTCCCTGCTCCCTCCAGCAGCCGTGTAATGAGAAACCGGGCAGCAAAGCAAAAAGCATCTTTATTTACTACCCGGTACTGCAGTTTCTCTCCAGCTTGATGGAGCCACAACCCAATCCCATAAGCCCTTCCCTCTTGCTTTGGCCCTACTGGCCCTGCAGAGGAAAAGCCCCCTGGCTTCACCCAAGGGCTAGACAGGCTCCCAGGGTGCAGTCACCAGCTCCACGCACCCTGATGACCTTTCAATCGATCCTTCCCGCCTCCCACTCCTCCTTAGCAGGGATGAGCAGCACCCATGCAGGAGAGCTCGCACCTGCCCCACCGCAGCTGCCAGAGCAGATGCTGTGCCCCAAAATGGGGCGGCATGGCACAGCTGGGTACCCGCAGCCCACGACCCGGCGCAAGCACCATGCCAGCTGCACAGGTTGCATGTGGCTTCAGTTATCATGGACAAATCCTGCTCAGCATTGCGAGTCGAAGCTCTTTATGAACTGCTCCGAGCCTTCATTCTCCACTGGAAACATGGGACAGCACTGCTTTTGGTTTCTAGTCCAAACATTAGGACAGGGACAGCCCCCTCAGCTGTGGGACAGGAGTAAATTCACACCGACAGCTGGAAAAACCTTCAGTTTTTATTAGAAAGCTTCTCTCACGTGAGATGTAACAGAAATAAGGCAGCAAGAGGTAAGCGGGGCGCTTTCCTAGCAGACAAGGTCCCGTCTCCACTAGGAGAGAGGCTACGCCTACCAAAGTTTCATTCTTGCCAAAGCAGGTTGAATCAGCCATGCTGGCTGCCATTCCCCCTCACGTGCCTGCAGAGAGCTCAAACACTTCAGGATGCGGTTTTAACCAGGGGCGGTGGAACAGCAGTGCGAGACATGCCAGGTGCCCAACAACCTGAGTACCGAATGCCTCCTAATGAGGGCTCGGACCCCACGTGGCGTGCAAGAGGGTGATGCAAGAGGAATTTCTTAGTTGCACAGCTGCCCTGTAACATCCTGGGAATCGCACCTGAGAGCAGCCTTCTTGGCACGGGAGAGGCTCAGACAAGCCATGAGAGCACGATACTGGCCTCTCCTTGCCTTGAAAGGGTCTGCTTTGCTCTCCATCCTTCATGTCCCTCTCCTGCCTTCCCCCGCATCCTCAGGTCCCCGCGTGAAGCCAGGCTGCTGCTGGAGCCAGCTTGGCCGCAAGCTGCTGCGCACGGGATGCTCCTGGCTGCCTTGGGTCTCCTGCGTATTACCCCCTCGCAGCACAGGCTGCTGCACCCATGGCTGGGAACCCCCAAAAACCTCTCGGCAGCCCCCAGCCAGCAGGGACACGCCAACAGAGAGGGCCCTCTTGGAGCAGCTGCGGTGTGCCGGGGGAGAGCCTGAGGGCAGGTTTGTAGTGGAGCCACGCTCCTGCCCAAGGCCGTTAAAGGATTTTTTCAGGATTTGCTGCAGAATCAGTTGGATCGACGATTTCTGTCCAGTTCTAGGGAGTCGGGGGCCAAGAGGCCACAATGCTACAAGGCCCTGTTGCCAAATCTCAGAGGACAGCTCAGGCATCCCTTGCATCCAGGCTTGTGCTGAGCCAACCAAACCACGGTGCCTCTCTTGGGCAACAAACATCTCCCCAAAAACAGAGACTAAACCTCCTGTCTGACCTAATTCCTTCTTCAGTCTGGCCTTCATTACAATTTAATATGAACAGAACAACGTAGGAGGGAATTGACAGATGGCCCAGTCTGCAAAATTTGGATTTGGACAGCAAAAAGAAAAAAAAAATCTCACTTCTTTGTGGAGCACTGCAGCATTTAAAAGGGAGCACAGTGAAAAGTCATCAGTCTAAACCCAGCAGCGTGTGCAGGATGGGAAAACCCCAGTTTGCGCATCCCAGCCTCCATCACCCTCCACCCCTCCAAAAAAAATCGGGCAGACTGATGTTTCGCTACTCCAACGATTGCCTGCAAGAGATGCTGAACGTCTCTCTGTGTTACTCCTCACGGAGGGCAGCCCCAGGAGAGCAGGGAGCTGACCGGGTTTTGAGTGCAGTTCTCCCGAAGGGGCAGGACGCAGGCGCACGCCAACCTCGCATGTGCCAAGCAAGTGCCGCCCCTGCCCACAGGCAACCTCGCACAGGGCGCCAGGCCATGACGCCCCGAGGTGCCAAGTAGCAGAGGGCTAGCAGAGGCCAGTGGGGAGACGCAGGTGCCTTGGCAGCCGAAAACCACCCTGGGGCTGCATCTTGGGCAGAGGCACCGGGATGAGGCGCCCAACGGTACCCGAAGGGAGAGGAGCTGACACATGCTGTACTGCAGAAGAGCCTCCCTTTTCATCTAAAACAGAAAGGATGAGATTTCCAACCCGCAGCTTGGAAGAAGCAAGCTTCAAAACACAAAACTTTCGACCTTCGTGCTGTCAGGCAAATAAAACCGACCCAGGACCAGGGGTTTTGCTGTTTAGCTCAGGCTTGAAAAAAAAAAAAAAAA